TTATAGTTTAGGGTTTTTAGGTATCTTCAATTGGCCTTTGAAGATATTATTACTTTATCAATTGGAAAATCATAATTTACCTACTACAGTAATTTCTGTAGTTCCAATATTATTTTACACACTAACAACAACAACTAAGTCTGTACCGTGTTCATACGATCTGAACGAGGAATATTAAAGAATCTTCGAATCACATATGCATATACATATGGGATATGCGACATATGTAATGGTGAGTGTCTCCATAAAAATCCCATAGAAAAATAACTGCGCGTCTATAAATGCTAAATTTAGAAATGCTCCCAATAAGTGGGTTTAGTTGTCCGCGACGTAAATAGATCGATGTTAGGGTGGGTCTTGGTCTTAAATTTAAAACGGTCACGTGTTGAAAAGTTTCGGCCATCACTGCACATATAAGAATTGTATGTGATAGACAGCTTCAAGGATTGCAATCCAACAAACAATCTTTAATGTAAGTAAAAGTTTAAAATATTCAAATTTCGAACTGTATATGAGTACAAGTAAAAAGATATATGAATCATGTATGTAGCTTTACCCGACTGCAGCGAAGCTCTAAAAGAGGATTATAATTTTGACCGAAATGTAATTTGCTCGTCCATATGTTCTAAAACTACTCAATCAATAGTTTTTTGTCACTTGGTTCATTTTTATTGTAAGAAATCAAACTTAAAGTTTGTTAAGTGGGGTATCAAAATGTAGAAAGAAATCAAACTTAAAGTTTGTTAAGTGGGGTATCAAAATGTAGAACTTTAAGTGATAATTACAAAATTATGTACAAACACGGTTTTTGTTTTTGTTTTTAATCCATACTTGTTAACATAATGTTGTGTTTCAACTTAACGATAAATAACGTTATCAAATATAACATATTAAAGTAATTTAAATATTAGGTCACACTTGATCTAGGGAACTTGTAGAACGGAGTGACGATACCGATAATTGTCCACGTATTTGAATAGGTAGATATTTTTCGCGTGTATGTTACTAGTAAAGTTATAATAACCGTGAAAAACAATCCTAGCTCTAACGCTAAAACCATAGACAAACTACTTAATGTGTATAGATAGATAGTTTTTATTGCACACCAAAAAGAGTATTGTGAACACTGAGGGTCCACCTATTTCCTAAAGCACGGCATACAGTCCTCAGCAACACTAAAGGTTTTTATCGTACACAGGTTGACAAGTATTAGTCGATAAGTACTAACAATACTAATAACTATTATTAGCAAAATTTTACAGACGCGTGGTTTGATACGTGGCAGATTGACGTGTCATGTGCATTCTGTCAGATATGAAGGATTGACATATTGAAAAATGTTGCCTTTATCAAACCTTACTTGATTTTTAGTTTCTTTGCGTATGTTGTAATTTAAATTTTATTTTATATTTGTATGCTGTGCTTTATGAAATAAATAATATTCTATTATATTCTATTGTACAATCTAAAAATATGTTAATATGCAGTACAATGGGCGGTCTTATCGTATTCTACAATCTCTTACAGATAACCTGGATGGACTATGCTGTATAATATACGTAAGTCATAGTACAACAAACTAAATAGTACAATTTATGATTAAAATAAATTTCCAGTTAATGCTTCCTAGTCGAAAAATTTAGTAATTAACTAGGGAAATGAACATTATTATTATTATTAAGCTTAGCAGCACCAAAAGGCATCAATAATATATAAATAAATATTATAAACAATTTAAAAGGACAACCTTCAAAATATTTTTAAAATCAAAAACAAATAATTTTAAGGCAAGACGTAGTCTTGAGGCCAACATTTTAAAAACGTAGATTATTATCTGTGGACACACGTGCTACAAAGTTACCCTTGAAGAGACCCGTGTGACTTCAATCTATTTTAGTACATGCCCTCAAAGGAGGGTAGCTCGCCGATAATTGAGGAAATAATTTATGATTATCTTTCAATATTACGTTATTTAATTTCCAGATTTTTATATTTCTAGAGAAGTTAGGAGTCTAAGATATTATATATAGGATTATAAAGCTCATAGTTTAGTAAAACCAAATAAATAAAAGTGCTCTAATGGTGAATCGATCAAGTAAGTAAGAGTAAAATAATCTGCCATCTGGTACTGTTGTCAGATAAGCTCCACGGTGCACAATTATAGTATAGACTCTAGTATAGACTAGAATGAAAGCCTGTTAAAAATAAAAGTTGTACACACGAAAGAAATCCTCTATTCAGTGCAGGGGTCTCTTCTGAAATCTAGAATCTATGAGAGACTCTTTCCACATTTTTTGGAGTCAGTGCAACGCGTTTTCTTTTTCTATTCTCTTCTGTCACTCGACGGATCACTGACTGTACCCTGTGACCCTTTCTAGTCCATATCCTCTTTTACGAAGTCTTTTTTTTCAATGCAAAATTGTTTTGATTTGCCATTCGTTCCAAGCATACGTGGTATTAATGCTATGAAATCCGAACCGAGTAAGGATTAGTCATTTAATGGTTTAATTTTATTTCAATTTTACACTTAAAAGAAAACTAGATAAGCATGATATTTATATCACAAGTCGCGTTTAAAGATTTAAGTATCGAATAAGCGAATATACATTGATTAGAAGTAAAAATATAACTCTCAAATAAATGAAACACTATTTTATCTATGAACAAATAAAAGCTTTATATTTATAGAGATTTAAAAAAAAAATGTAATTCATCGTTTTGATACAGTTCCGGGCCAAAATTAATTTTCATTTTATATTTGATGTTATGCCAGTGATAGCAAAACAGGTGAATATTTCTTTCTTACAAATGTATTTTTTTCTAGGTATTGAGGCCTCTAAATGATGGGTAGTCAAATGTGTGAGTTAAACAAAAAAACAGACGTCAACACAAATAAGTGAACTTGATACTTCAGTATAACGTTACATGTTTCAAATTGAGCAATTTTCTGTATCCTGTCCCACATCTGTCACATAGGAATATAGAAAAAAAGTATCCGTTGAAATATTCAATTATAGAACTTTACTGTTAAAGATGCAAAAAAATAGTTCAAACAGGACTTGTTAAAAAATCTATGTTCATTAATATGCCGTTTCTCATTTTAAACGATTTCAAATTCGAACAGTTTGTTTTTTAATATAGAGAATCGGGTTAATTTGAAAAAAAGAACTGCTAGGATTGTGGACTCAGGTAATAATAATAAATTTCATTCAAACTTGTTTTTATTGTTTAGTTGGCAAATGAGTAGACGTCACCTGATGGTGAGTGACTATCTTCGTCCATAGTCACCTGCAACTATAGAGTCACAAGTCCATGGCCGCCCTATAAGCCATCGCTACTCCCAGGATGAGGCTGTTAAATAAAAACTGTAGTACATTAGTTATTTAAATATGCTATTTATAACACACTAAGTTCTATCTAACATAGAAAGTATAATCTCTTGAATAGCTTTGGAACTTAGAAACGAACCTTAAATTTCCGTGACTCGCTTTTCCACGCCGCCTAGTGTCGAGTAGCGTCGAGTATTTTCGTGAAAACTCACCCCACGTTCGAACTGTAAACGTGTACACCACCATCCCTTTCCACACACCCACACACCCTTACATGTGAACGAGATAGACATACATCGGTCATTATATCCAGATTTCCACTCGAGAAAACGGACAACCCTTTAGTTGTCTCTATTAACGCAGTCCATATGGGACAATTAGAGAGAGATAGAGGTAGCGTACAGGTTTTGTGAAGCTGGACATTCAGTGACCACGATTTTTTTAAGTTTTTTCAACAGCCTATCACGATGTGTTTGGTCAAGAGATTGAGTTATAAGGCTGGGTACAGATAGGAAACTTATCTATACCTGTGATAATTTATTAATAGAAAACAAACTTACAGTAAAACTATATAAGCTCTACTGTAAGCTTGTTTTGTGTTAGGTATAGTATAAAAATGATAGAAATAGAAAAAAACTAAAATCCTAAAGGCAAAAGGTACAATGTTCAATAAATTTTAATGTTAATGTACATATAGCAACAGGTTTATAGACTAATAAAAAAATAATATTATATACATTTTGAATTCAAATTAACAAACGTCATTTCCTTAAAAACAAAAATAACGAAATCAATAAACAATCAATCACTTATAACAATTTGATATTTCAATAATCGAACGTCCCGCGAAGTTCGCTACTGAGTCGGGAAACAATTATGAAAAAGTTCTTTTTCGACGCCCGTTCTCGCGCCAGTTAAGTCCCGACTGACACTCATAAAACTTATTAAAGTCAAGGACCGACCGAGATAAGTTCTTCGCCGTCTTAAGTAAAATAACGGCGGCGAGGGAAAAAATGTGCCGCGAAACTTGCCGGCAACGGTGAACATCTAGCTTTACGTGTTGCGCTTTCTCACATTTTTTGATAATGTAACTCTATTTAAGCATTCTCTTTTCAATTTGAATGTTTTACAAAACATCATAAATTCTAGCCCAGTTAATCTTTGCCAGTAGGTTACTAGTATTGAATTAGGGGAATGCAATTCCACTATTAACGGTAAACCGTATGAACATTCCACACCATATGTTTTCGTATCCCATAATTGTATCATATTGTTTTTCTACAAATCGCGCTACAGCGAGCTACGAGCGCGTAGCTGAGGTACGTAGAACTTTGTTACGCTCACGTATTGCTCAATGGCGTAGTAGTAAAACTTACACTCACTTTTATGTAAATACATATGAACTACAACATACTACAACGACATTACACTTACTACATTTAAAACTTTAGCATACAATGTGCACTCATTGCCTTGATACTGGTTCATAAAAACATAAAGTTTTATTTACAACTCGGATCATAGAATGCATTTGACAAAGTAAAACAAAAGGGAACCTTATAATTCGCTTTTACATCACTTCTTAATTTTTAAAACCGCCTTGAAACCGTAGACTGACCGCGCTCGGGTCCATTCAATTAAAAATTCCATCTCCTAATCGAGTCATGAAATATGCAAGCAAATATTATCCCTTTTCTTTTGTACGCGCTGCATCTTCGCCCCACCCGCGCACGCACACCGACGCACGGCACTTATGAACTATACCTGTCTCTCTTGCACCCACGCATCTTAGGGTGTAGTACGCGTGACACGATCTCTGTCGAACAGCCGACGCGACGGCGACCGCGAGTAACCCCTGGCCACTTCGTATGGACTCGCACGCGCCGTCGTCGGCCGGCCGAGCGAGATAGCGCGAGTCGTGGACATGCGGAGGCCGCGGAGCCCTCGCGCAAAGGGACACAGGACAGACGCTCTCGGACATCGGGCGAGAGCGGGCGGCCGGCCGTGCACCTGCCTCGCACCGTTTTGAACACGCGACGTGCTCGATCGCGAGACGCTACTTCAATTTATCGTAAACACTAAGACAACTATTTAAATTAAATTTTCAAATAAATGGTTAATTTTATTTTTTTTGGTTACATGAAATTCTATGGAATAATTTTGTTAGAACTATTGTAAATTTAATAAAACGGACAGTGACTAAAATATTGTTTGTTCGGACTGAAAAGTGAAGAAGTTTAAACAGATGCTATTAAATAGAGTGTGACCAAATGAATCGTTTACCGAATCGCAGGATCGCCACTAGGTGTGGATAGATTAGATAGGGCAATAAGACGTTCATTCAAGTGTTGATAAGGCCCTCTTTATGACCAGACGATTTTGGCGAACAAACATTCAACTGACGTGTGAACTGATTCACCACAACATGAAAAGGAAAAAGTAAGATAAGAGCCAGTTGAATTTTAATTTGTGAACCATGAAGAAGTTAGGAAGATGACTAAAACTTCATTTCATGTTTTCCGTCGGACATTCAGAGGAGGATTTGTGATAACTGAACCTCCGTTATCATTAACGTTTTAGAAATAGAGCGATAAGCCTCTGGACCGACGGCGGTGCGTGTGAAGTGAGCTAAGAACTGTTGTCAGATAGCAAAATATTAAGATAAACATTTCTGAGAATAAAAGAAGTTACTGAAGATACAAAAATAGGTGACCAAATCAAGATGAGAATTAAAATGCCAGCTGTACGCATCGCGCAAGGTAAGTTTGTAATTCTTTTAATATTCACTATGTTCTTATAAGATTTTTTTTAAACTAAATAATAACGTTTTAAAATTAACTAAAAAAAATCTAGATATTTCATCAATTATCGCAGTGGTAATTCCAAAAATGCTGGCATCAAATATAGAAAAAGATATTGATCTATTCAGTGTCCGTTTAATGCGCCAACGTTTCACAAAACATCTAAACAAACAGACAGTTTGCGTCCACAATATGCGAGTGCCGGCTAGACTCCATTCATTCAGGCAACGAGCTACTTAATAGCGGAGCTTGTGGCAATATTGACACAACGTCCGTGGTCATCACATGTCCGAAAGGGAAACATGAAAAGAATTCACTGAGTAGCCCTTTTGAAATATTCAGACAGCATCCAAGTCTTCTTGAAAGAATTGGACAGCTCCCTAATGACAATCAATTCAAAAAGTACGAGATACTAGATAATTATAAATGTTTAAGTCATGATTCAGATAAGATAAAGCTTACTGCTAGAGTTTGACAGTAAATTTTGATGACAAAGTGCAAAATGCAGCGGATGATTAATAATTAACTAGGAAGATATTATTCTCAGACCTCACACAGGTAATCGCAAATATAATTATAGTGTTTATTGTATCACTTGCTATAACCTCACTTTAACTCCTAAGGTTAGATGAAATTACATTGTAAAAGACTGCAGACATAATTAATTTACGACCAGATCAGTTTCTAGAACATGCAACAATGTATATTATACTCGTAGATAAAACATTAAAAACCACATTAATAAATTATTGAATCAAAGGATAAAATTAATAGTAACAATGTAAGCGTGCTGCGAATAATTTAATAAGCTAATTAAAAATGATAATATTAAACATTAGAAACTGTTTTTTTGAATACACATGCCATTTCCATTGTTACTAGATTTATTTCCCACTATCCAACAGTTAGGTGTATTAATTAAAACTTATAAGCAAAAGTGTGAGCATCTCATTTTTTCCCATGCTTTACTTAAGTTACAATGGGATGACCAGTGAATTTATAATTTTAGACCGCCAGTTGCTTTCATAGTTGCTGTTTTTATTTCTTATTCGTATTCAGATGCTTGTTTCTTTGGTAAAGAATATTTAGCATAATGTTCTAATTTTAAAGAAATAAGAGTAGAAACTATGTCAGTCTGCCTTTAATTTCCTACTTTAATATTTAAATGAGACGAGAATTTAATAATTCCTTTGTTTGGAAAGTAGGGAGAAGAAAAATGTCAGTCACCAAATCATCAACGTAGTTAATCACATTTACTGGTATTTGGAAAGAAATCTATTCTCGTGTAACAAACACACTTTTTAAGTATAAAGTGTCACAGATTGTTCCTTTGTAATATATGAGCCTGCGTCGGCCGTCAACTCACGCGCACGGATTCCTCTTAAAACTAGCGTTATCGCACACATGGGCAATTAGTCCAAGTTGACCGGAGGCGACGAGCGATTGCGATTGGTCGGTCGTACAGTGACGTCACCAACGTCTGCGGCCGTCGCGCCCGATTGGTCGACACGCGTCATTTCATCGATGACACGTTTGTTCTTATTTTAAAAGCAAGAAGTTTGAGGTACTCATGTTTTGTTGTAAGTAACAAAGGAACCCCCTTACACGTACATGAAATTGAATTCCATTATGTGATTGTTCGTGACCATATGTAAGTTCGTCTAAAATCAGCAAATTGTTGAACGTAATATTCTTGCCATGGGGCTTTCGAAGACGGATTGATTTTTTCAGTTAAAAGAAGGATCTCAAAATAAAATCATATTACCTCACCAAAATAGCAAGCTATCACGAAATTAAAAATTTAGAAGGTCGTCAAGTTTTAACGCAATCCCAATTATGTCCAGGGGCAAAACCTTCTGCCTTTTTAAAACCCTCTTCAAAAGTGTGAATTAGGGAATCGTAAAATTACTTTATCAGGTGCGAGACTAGACAGACGGGGGATACCGCGAGCGTAACTTTTAAACAAACTTTTAAAAATCCAAGTTAACTTTCATGCCGTGCCCGACCGAGGTCTAAATAAAACATTAGCAGACGTACCGTTTTGCTTTTACTTCGCATTTGTCTCTAATTGATATGGGTTTGTGTAGACATTTTAATTGGCACTGCTTTTTAATGTTCACCATTTGTTACATTTTCATTATTTTGCCTCCATTAAAAATTTCACGGGACAACAAAATCATACTTGTTAAACTCCAAATTTATTGTTTTTTATTTAATTGTTTCATTTATTTTGCTATTGTCTTTTATACAAACGTGAACGGATGCGGCATAAAAGGACCGCACGTCAATTTAAAGATTGCCTATATCTTGTCCTTTGCCGCTTAGCGATTCAATATGTCTTCATTAAGAGAATATCGAAGCATCGCATTTACAAACGGAACTCTCAATCTTGATCCTTGAACATAAATTATTGAAGCAAGTTTAATGCTTGCACCTTCACACACTAGTTGGATAATAGGAAAATATATAGCGAATAGCGCAAATAGCGATCGGAGCTAAAGAATATAATTTTTCCATAATGTGTATTTTACTTAGAGTAACGGTCTGTCAGTTCTTGAATCCTAAACTAGGCACGTAAGATAGCATTTTATTTTGAATGTATAGTTAGGGTTCAAAAGGTACCTCACATAATGTATGTCTATTACAATTGCCGCGCTCAGTAATGAATCAGTGCAAACCGCGGCAATCCGTGGGAAAGAATTCTCATCTCGAAGTACTGGTACCAATAAATTGAATTCGTCAAGGCAACATATTTTAAACATTGACGTCCGACGTCCATTAGAGCAGGATAAGAGAAAGCAATATCAGATAATTTATTTTGCAACATATTCAAATTGTGGGAATAAAGTTAATTTTCTTATTTAGAATAATGATTGTGCGGATGGCCACCCGTCCTGAATTTCGAACTGGACGAGCTCGATTTTATACCTTTTTTTACTGAGCACAACGAACGGCGTTTTGTATTTGTGATTCTGAAGATAAAGACGTATGGATTTACATATGTTATGTCAGTGGAGGTCCCGGTAACATTTAAATTGGATTTATTAGTCCGGTCCTCTCAAACAGCGCTGAATGTTGGAGACATTATTAATGTAATATTTGTCATTTTTTAAATTCAAGATATTAATTCACTTACGGTTAAAAATGAAAAAGATTCGAAAAAGGATCTGCTGAGTACGAGACAACACTAATAGCATTCTTAACATCATTGCAGAGAAATATGAATCCGAATTTCGAAACGAGCTCGTGCAAGTTTCATTGAATGACTACTATAGTTTTATTTACACCTTTACTTTTAAAATCATTATAAAGTAAGGGGCTTTGTCTGGAAATAAAACTATTAGCTTTTCTTATTAATTAAAATCTGAGTAGTATTTACCATCAATATATTTACTACAGACACGATCCTGTATGAATTCCTTATATGACAAAATTCAAGAATGCACCCAGCAGCCGTAAAATAAGTTAGGATATTTTTTTTTGATGCAGTAAACGGAGCGCCTCTTGAAAAACTGTTGTTGCAACTGTTTTTATAAACAATCCTTTTTCAAAGAAAAGGATTGACACAATGACAATATAAATCTGGTTACAAACAATAACTACGGTAGCCAAACATTGTACTTGTTCAGGACTTATGCGTTAAGCGTAATCCATGACACATAGATGAGTCCGTGAGATAATATTTCTAACATTTGAAATATTATCGTAACTAATCTATATTGTATTTTTTGAATAATATTAACATTATCGATTATGATCAGTGTATTATAATCGTAAAATTCAAAGGATTACCTCTACCTACAAAGAATAGAAAATTTTAAATACACATAAACCTAAAACGTTTATTTCTAAACCGTCTTTCTCAAATCAAATCTTGATTTGGTTTACTTGTAATACGGTAATTAAATAGAGATAATACAGAGTACTCTGAGATAGTTATTCATCCTCATTTCGGATTTGTACTTCAAATCTACTTTGACCAATGTCCGCCCATTAGAGTCTATTAAAGGCTTAAAATAAATACAGAATTAGAACACAATGGAATAAAAAAGGTTCATAACAAGTATTAATTTATTGTGAGCAGACCACGATCAATACCCTGGGAGTGGGTGGACAGTTTCTCAAGAGTCCATCTTTGTCAGGCTTTGATACCAATTTGTTATTGTCGGCCTTTCAACGTTAGACGATTTAAAGTTTGGTAGGTGTTCGCTTTATTTAGATTAAAGACTTAACAAAGAACCTTTTACAACGGGACGTTCAGAGTTTTGATCTAAAACACAATCATTAATATGTACGATGAAAATAACAAAATCTAAACACAAAGTGATTTTATCGAATACTAACAAACGACAGGTTGACAATGGATCAAAATTCGATAGAGGCACCTGAATCTTCAATATTTTCCCATGGTCAAACCTCGATAAACACCTTGACAAAAAATCTATTCCTACCTTTGACAAACAATTGGTCAAAAGATTTTTTTGGCCAAAACAGGCTCAGTCCGTACCCACATGAGTTGGATCGCCGATAATAATAACAATACGGAATGGGGTTGGTATCCGAAGGCAAAATAACTATTGTGTATCATTATGTGACACCCTTTCATCAATTTTAATAGAAAAGAGCTTACAAGTGTCACTTTCTTCATTTTTTTTGTATTTGTGCTCTAATTTCTGACAACAGTAGGTTTATTTCTGATATATAAATGATAAAAAAAAATACCTGATTCATATCAGTGTTAGGAATTTTCATTATTTATATAAACTTGTAATAAAAAGTTTAAATAAATTCGTAGATTAAAGCTATTAATCTTCTTTTCTTTCAGAATATTATTAGATGCTTGCGTCAATCTAGACTCTTAAGGAAATCCAGAAGTGAAAGTTAAGATATTAAACCTGTGGTTTCACATATTTATTACTGTGGTGTTACTGACTTCTCGTGTAGATTTGATGTCATAT